GTGTATACGAGCCAGTTTCCCTTAGAACGTCCTCCACGAAGGCATCCCTCCCCTTAGGCAGGTAGCCCTAGTGTGCTTTTGCCGTATTCTCAATACACACAATACACGCACCTCTTCAATTGAGCTTGCAGACGGGTTCGAATCTCGCGATCGGGCTGCTTGCATGAGTGTTTTGATGGTTTTCCCCATGTGTAGCGTGATATTTCCCTAAGAACGTACTCCACTAAGGCAAAGGCATCCCTCCCCTTAGGCAGATAGCCATCGAGGCTTTGCCGTAATCATATAAACCATAAGCTGAAGAAGACAAATCATTTCCACGGATTTTAACATTATCCAGAGGCAAGAGTTAGGATGCAAGACTGATTTCCCTTAGTCTCCTGCTAACAGGGCGTTTGATTGAACATTATTTTAATTACAGCAGTATGTATTTAGAGCTCTGTTGTAGTAAAATAATTGGAGGGATTTGGTTTATCAATTCAACTAGATTAAGGATTCCTGACTTATAATTATCTCAGTTTTAATTTCGAAATGCACTGAGTCCTAACTATAACGTTCATAAAAAAGGTAAACGAAAGCTGCTTACCAAACCTGGAGACTTGCTTAGATTTGATTAGGTTAGGTGTGAATGCAGGGGCCATCTATTACGTACCCTGAGTAAGTAGGTAAAAGCTCCCTTTCTCAACTTATTCAGGATAACATCGCATCTTAGGAACCACAGTGCATTCTGGTGCTAATGTTGTTTTGGGTACAATTGACATTCGCAAGGTATACTGCCGGTTAAGGTGTCCCGTCTTATGTTAGGTCTGAGGCAGGTGGTTCATTTCACTGTTAGGTGGATTACACATTAAACAGACTAATGCATTATATAAAGGTATATATTTCACTGTTGCATAAGTAATACTTTAGCGTACTTGTGCTGGTGGAGCTGAATATGAAATGATTTTTCGTTAATCACAACTAGTCTTTCGTTGCTTAGAGATATATAAGCTTAGCCCCTTGCACTACTTATGAGTACCTTATATCCTGATTTCATTGAAAGCTTTTACGCATTCCGTTTTCCCGTGGAGTTGCACGTGGAAATATTGCATTTATATCTCATTGCTTTGTTTTGCTGTTGCATTCTTTTTGGCGGCTAATTTGCTTTAAGTAGCTGTTGATTTCTGGCAGCTAGAAAGCCAATAACTTTCGCAATTTTATTCCTTGAACGCTTATTTCTGAATGTATATTTTAGTAATGGGAATAAATCCCTTTCTGAACTTGGCTTCTTTAGATAAAGTAACACTGTTAATGACCCCTTTTTATGCAAGCACAGGAACCTGGTGAACAGAGGTTTCCTTGCATAGAAACGAAGACATTTTTACAAAACTATCCAACGTTAAACTAAAATTTAAGCAAAACAGCAATCTCAGTCTGGTCTCTATTGAATAAAACTATCGATATTGAAGGTGCGGCCGGCCAGTCGGTTTGGCGGTCAGGGAAGCTGACTGCGATACCAAAGGGCCAGGGTTCGAATCCCGGAGAAGGCATGGTTGTAACTGTCCGCCTCTTCATAGGAAAGGCGATGGTGGCCCACCTATTAGGTGCCTCCATAATAAAGAGACCACCACATCTGACCTTGTATAAATTAATGGACTGGGTTACATTTGTAATTGTTCACAATCTGCCTTTAGAAAAAAAAGTATTGAAGGTGATGAGATAGGACACTGTTATTCAGAAAGCAACAACAACAACAACAAAAAGAAAAAAAAAAAAAAAAAAAAAAAAAAAAAAAAAAAAAAAACTGCAACAGATGGGAGAAGCTCTATGGATTTATTTCGAAAAAAGATGCAAAGATATCCATTTCACTAAGTGCAAACGTTTTACGGACAATTTTCGCAGACCCAATGTCCAATTAGGATGGATTAAATTTGGAATTGTGATCATATTTTGAAACTAAGCATAGTTGAAATTTCAATTCATTGTTGAAAGCTTAATCATAAATTTGATATTTATTCTGCGAAAATTATCCATAGAGCTTCTGCATTTGGTGAATTAGATTTTCTTGAAGGTTTTCAGATTTATAAAATATGTGTTCTTTAGTGAATGCGAGTAATTTGAATTCAGTTCTTCTTAACATATTGAAAATCTTAGCTAAGCATGTTATTAATATTTTAGCTTATCATATTTTATTATTAATTTTGTTGACAGATGGATCTACGTTTATTTTTATATCGCTCCGTTCATTGCTTTCAGTATAAAATCATTGCGATCTTCCCATTTATTGCATTTTTTTTTTTTTTTTTTTTTTTTTTTGTCTGAAGAGGAGAAATCCGTGTCTCAACCTCGAAATCGATACAAATTTATTCAAATCTTCTCCAAACTATGATTTTCCGATTTTAAATGTCACTTACTTCTGATCGTCAAAAAAGGCATATTCAATTGTTAGTATTAGCAAACAGATGTTGAAAGAGAACCATTCTTATCGAAACAGAATTCTGAAATAAATTTGAAAAAAAATAAAATGTTAGCATAAATTGTATAAATCTGAAGCTTTTCTCTTAAGAAATAGTCTGTACCATTTTATTGCACTTTTGCTACAAAACGGTAGATATGCCCTAATCTTACGCTGTATAATTTACTATTTTATCAAACATATAAATGAAACTACTTGCTTTCATCATTCAAGTTCTATTGGGCAAACTTGGCAAACTTTTGCAATTCAGAATAAAATATTTTAACTCAAGCACTTTGAATGCATAATAGAAGATGAGTGGTATTCATGTTATTGAATTTCATTGCTAACGGTATACGAAAATAAAATCATTTATATTTATGAATGCATTTCTGAAGTACGAACAAACGCTCACTTTACATTTGCTCAAGACTCATTCTTATTTTTGAAATATGTAGATGAATGGTTTACAATAAATTTAAAAGTTTCAGACTCCAAAGCGTTTATAGCTGTTTTGGGTAAACTATATTAAAATTTTAATATTAAATTCTGATCGCTAGCATACAGTTTAATTTCAAAGAGACCATCTTCAGCCAGAGTGCTGTTTATAAGCTTTTGAAATTGAAATAAACTGGATATACTGCCAGAAGGAATGTTCACAATTATTGAGTATAGAAAAAGCAATTAATGTGAGGAATATGTATTGATACTTATAATTTTATGTAGTACTTCTAAATTTTAGAGTGATATTCCTGATTAATTTGAGCAATCCCTTAAGTAATTCTGACTTGAGGTTATACGGTATTTCTCCCGCCCTCGTAGTATGGTGGTCTGCACGCTGGGCGTGTATTCCAGAGGTCCGTGGTTCTATTCCTGGAAAAGACGTTGCTCATTTCACATGACCGCAGCTTCCCCAAAAATACCTAATATATCTACAGTGGCACCCGAACTAAAAGGCTGGTGGATGATGATTCTCCACACCCAGTATTTTGTAATTGGGTCCTCTAAAAACCGCAGTCGCCCTTTAAAAGGGGGCGTATATAAGGTATTTCTCCCGCCTTCTTAGCGTGCCTTCGTGGTGTAGTGGTCTGTACGCTGGACGCGTATTCCAGAAGTCCGTGGTTCGATTCCTGGTGCAGGCGTTGCTCATTTTTCATGACTCCTGCTTCCAAAAAATACCTAATGTCTCTACAAGGTGTATACCGAATGGTATCGTACAGAGGAATTACTTAAAACTACTGACATATTTTTAAGTGAAAAATGGTCTCTTTTTATATTGTAACGAAATTTGTACATATATAAGTAATTTTATTGAAATTATATGTAAAATTATATTTTTTGTGTGTAACGTAACATGAAATTCTAAAGAAGTGATACTCTGCAGGAAACATACGAATACAGGGGCAAGTCTATTTAACATTGAGTCAATGTCTATCTCGCTAAATTGGCTAGAAATCGCGAAGCTGGCAATGATTTTAGCAATTAGCTTTTGTCGACACATTTGACGAGAAGTCGCCAAAAGTCGACGGACTTGACTACCATTTGAGTCAGGTCTCTGCATAATTGTAATTGGTACTGTAACTGAAAAACTATATGCAACTGTAACCATATCTCACCCTTAGATGAAACTTTAACTGTGTATGCCTTCAAGTATTTCGAGAAATGGAATTTACTAAAGATTTCTGGGCGATATTTGCTCTCAGTAGTTTTTAGTTCAGAGTTGAACCCGGAGTATTTAGATATCTCCGTGTAAGCTTCGCTCATTAGATGTGCTTTGCAATTGCGTTGTGTTTAACGTTTTAAGTAATTTGACGTGTAATTACTGATTTTTCTCTGTGTTACTATGAAGAGCTGTACATATATTTTTGCAGGAAGCTCCATAACTGTGAAGTTTTCCTTTTGATAAAATAAATTGTATCAAGCTATCATCAATTATGTGTGCATTCAAACTGCCACGGACCCGTACGCACGCAACAATATTTTTAATTCCTGAAATTTATAAAGAAGAATAGGAAATAAAGCAATAAAGTTTAGAAAGAAATATTTACATAAAATATTTGGTATTACTTTTCTTTGGTGTTTAAAAGCACAATTATATTTTATGTTGTAAATAAATTTTAAAAGTTGCCACTTTCATTTCTGACATAATGGTTTTAGGTCTGAATACTGAATGGTCTTTAAATATTTTAGATATTTTTATTATAACGTCCAGTAATAAGTTTATATATAATGCTACTTAAATAATCTTTTTCTTCAATTATTCACGGCAACTTTTATTGCATTTACCTAATGCATATATTACAAGACACTTTTTAACTTTCCTCTTTTAACATTACATACGATGTAGAAAATTCTTCTGTTCTCATTAAGTAACATAGAAATAATTGATTCCTTTTCTTAAAATTTATTCAAAAGTTTTCCATTCCTTTTAAAGACCGGATACATGAAATTTATTTCTATGCATTTTGTCTTCGTTTTACTCGTTTTTCGTATTTTAATGAGGAAAATTATAACTCATGTTCCCATTTATAGAAATAAAACATATCTTATGTAATGTGTTTTTTCTCAGGTGTTCTCTTTACTGAAGATCAGAAAGAAAGTCCGACAGAATTAGCATTTAAATACGCAGTGTACAAGATCAATAAAGACCGCGATATCTTGCCGAACACAACGCTCGTGTATGATATACAGTATGTACCTCGGGACGACAGCTTCCATGCTTCCAAAAAAGGTAAGCCTTGGAATTGTTTTTATTTATGGATTTCATGAACTGAACTGTTCTTAAGAAATTCATGCGAGAATATATTAGCATTTTCAAATTCGGAGTTATTTTGAAGAACCTAATGTAAGCAAACTGTACAAGCAATGAAAAATCATAGCAATGAAAAATCAATCTATGTACGTTAAGTCTGAGCTTAATTTAGTTTCCATTAATTATTATTATTTCCATTATAATTATTATTGCCTGTTATTAGCACCAGAGGGGCAATTACTCACGAAACTACTTTTGCAAAGTCGCTTTTAGAATTAAAAGTTGATCATTTACGTATACACAGAGGTTAACCACTTCTGTGTTCTAGAATCCTAATAGAATCACTATTCTATAAATTTATTTCAGTACTCAAATTCTATCAATGGCGTCTTTAACTCTTGTATTGTATTTTAAGTGTAAAACTTACTTCCATTACGCTTACAACGTTTACAACTTATTTTTTAAATGCTTAGAACCATATGAAAGAATAGAATGCTCAAAAATAGTATATATAGTCAAATGTTTGTTTTTCAGAAGATAGGGTATATATCCTTAAAGGCTTATAAAGTATATAACGCTTACAACTTCAGAAAACCAGAAAAAATTTGCAGCATCAATTGCACCATTCTCAGTGATAGCTAATCCTTTAGACGTTTCGATGTTTTAAAACAGTACCTACTTAAGCGCCAAATTCAAATAATTTCGACTGACAAACTTTGTTTTGTCCTTACTGTGCGCCAGAAAGTAAAGGTACCCTGTACCTGATACTTACCTGAGATTTTAGATTTATACCGAGTTTAAAAGTTTCCTATTCAAAAAACAATAATAATAAAATTTAGTACCATTTTACATTAGTACCATAATTTTAGGATCTAGAATTCATAATTTTGTCTTTGAAAAGTTGGCAACACTGATTTATTCTCACATTTGTCACTTGTTACATCGTGCACATTTTCTTAAGTTGGATTTAATTACTGCAAAGAAAAGGCTCCAACAATTCTACTAAGCGGAAAGATAAATTGCTCTCAGCCACGTAAGTGGAGCGGCAGCCAAATATGGCAGACAATTCGTAGAACGTTTAGCGTTATTTCCCCTGCAGGGATTTAATCCCTTCCCCGCGAAGCCTGTACGCATGCGTTTTAAAGCTGATGCATTTATGATGTTGAACTCCCAAGATGCTAGTTTTAGATACTCGATATTTCGGTCGGTGTTAAGTTGTAGAATGTGTGTGTGTGTGTGTGTGTTATTATGGCAAATCCTCGAGGGCTATCTGCCTAAGAGGAGGGATGCCTTCGTGGAGGACTTTCTAAGGTAAACTGGCTCGTATACACGTTACACATGGGGAAAACCACGAAAACGGCCATGCAGCCAGCCCGTTCGCGGGATTGGGACCTCAACCGAACTACCAGTGTTCAGCGATTTTGCCGCTCGGCCGCTGGTGGGCCTTAAGTTGTAGAATGAAGAGTCGGCAGTGAACAGGTTAACTGGTTTTCGCATAGATAATTAAATCAAAAATATTAATTTATTGATCATCTTTAATACTGCCGTAGTTAGAGGAGGGCTTGGAACACATGCCTGTTTACCTCTGTTAGACACCAGGCGTTCCAGTCCTCCGTAACTACCTACATACATATACGCTAAGAAAAAAATTACTTTTCCGCCCTTAAAAAATCCCTTAATAACCTGAACCATAAACAAGGCACGCTTTTGAAATTTTTTAATACAAGTTCAAAGTCTCAAAAAATGACATACAAACAGAACTTTGCTGCCCACCAGAAAATAAAGAAATAAATGAATAAAAAACTTTTGCCAGGCAAACTATAAATATGTAAAATATAGGTTTATTATTTAGCTCATATCTATGGAAGACGATGTATGTTCGATTTGCATTATTTGCCATGAAGGTATCGTAAATGAACCAAACCATGTATTAATCTATGAAACCATAAAAATTTTCGGCATTTCAGTAGTGTGTGTATATATTCAAATACACTCCGAGCTGAAATATGAAACAAATACCTACTTTGGGCGTAAGAAGAAAAAAAAAAAAAAAAAAAAAACACGAAGTAAGAAAGATTACGGACGAAATAATTTAAACCAAACTTCGTTCATGATAAGTCACTACTAAAATACCCATACTTAGTTGCACTATGGACTGCTAAAAGCATTTATTCTTGAGAGGTCATTTAAACCATTTACTATTATTACTATTTAAAACAATGCCGAATTAAACTCTTAAATGGTAACTCAACCGGCTTGAAAGAATTTGCAGTGGCTACAAATATACTTAGTTCGCATCTCTGACATTGATTCAAATACTCTGTTATGTAGAGAAACTTTTATGTTAAACCACAATCCAGCGACATCCGACTCCAAAATAATGTATCAATCACAGCAAGCATCAGATGAAGAGAGAGACAGCGTGGTGTAATGGTAGCACACTCAGCACGTCTTCGAGAGGTCCAGGCTCAACTTCTGGCGAAGACATTGCTCAGTTTTCACGTTTCCTACGTCAGAGAAAACCTAATGTCTTGTGGATCATTAAGCGATCAGTGGCGATCGAACTAAAAGGTGGTGGACCATGATTTGGAGTCACCATGATTTGGAGATTGGATTCCCTAATCCCCAGTCGCCCTTTTAAAGGGAAATGATGTAAGATATTATCTCTCTTTTTCCAGCATGCCTTCGAGGTATAACGGTAACCACTCGGAGCGTTTTCGAGAGGTCACGTTCGAATCCCGGCTAAAGCACGATACATCTTTCGCATCTGCTGCGTCAAAATTTCTAATGACTCTATTGCTTTAAAGAAAAACAAAGTTTAGAATTACAGATCTATGTCCATGGCATACATCTCTTGAAAAGCAAAAGTTCTAGATACCATGGCAGTATACAATACAGCAGAGGATAGCAAGTACTCAGGGAAAAATCAAGACATAGGAATTACCCTAACAAAAGTTAAGAAGAAATTTCTTGTACGGCAATGAAAACTTGCAGAAGCTATCTAAAGAGTTTGAAAAGTAAATAAAATATTTTATGGAAATAAAGATATTCCAGATTCTTATTTTGCTAGGAAACGAATTATTTATCCCGTTACCGAAGAGGATTTATTGATCTTTGAAAAGAATAATAAGAGCAAGATGTGATTCTTTTTATCCCGATGGGAAGGAAACTACTTAAATCAAAACAATAACACTATGCAAACTCGATAATATGTTGCGTCGCCAGTATATTTTTCTGCCATGGAAGGAACAAAAGCGTATCTACTGTCATATAATATTTTAAAAATATGGTTCAGCAGAGAATTCAGCACAGCATCAGTAGTTCTACGGTTCAGTGAAAACGCTTTAAGCGAAAGATAAACGTATACATATCCCTAATATTTAAGAATATCAATTTTGGGCCCGCTTATTCAATTATCCATTACCCATGGTATTCGTTATCAATATTTCACTGCAGCCATTTCTTAAAAGCTAAATTATTAAATATTTATTATTCATAAAATGAAACCAAGAATAAGGATCTTTAGCATGAGGAAACACAACAACCCAAGTGTTAACCACTTATGTCTTTTGATGCCTGTTTAAACTATCAGTTCGAAAATGTATAATCAAACTTTAATCCAAAATAGGTTTTATTTCTTATGCTGTGTTTTTAGGAACGGTGAGGAAATCAGCCACAGGTGATGCTGATTTTCTAAAAGCTGTTTACCGGAAAAAAAGGAGATAACTAATAATAAAGCAGAACTAAATTGTTCAAATAATTGATGGACAGATATTAATTTATACAATTACTATGATATCGGTACTCATATAATATCTCAGCCTCTCTTGGCGACTTTTCTATTTTACGAATTACCTCAGCTTTCATAATAGTCCTCACCGACGACCCGTTTTGGAATTCTAATCGCAGCTCTTATGATTTGACCAAAACAACTCCTTCTTTCATTCTTTTTACTTTACTTGCCATCCGTTTCCATTTTCTGCTGGCTGCTTTGTCTCTGTCATCCATTTCCGTTTTAGGATGTTTAACAAGGTTTCATTGAAGTCTGAAACTTTCTTCAGAGATGGAAGTTCGAAAGGTGTTTACATAGCATAGGAATTTTTAAATCATTATTTCTCATTTGACTGTCAAGTAGCACGGTTGTTAATTTGGATTATTATAAATCAGCTAAGTTAGCTTGCCTTTTTGCACCAATGGTTGGATGGTTAATAAGCTTATATAGGAAATGTTTCCTTTTCATCCATTGATTCAGTAAAGGATATAGAACAAGTTGTACATTAACTAAGATAATTCTTAAAGTCTCAAGCTCCGGGGAATATCGCCACGAACACAAACTCACTTTGAAAACGTAATCCCCTGTCATACTATTACGCAGCATGAACCATCCAAAGATTTGCACCGGAACAAGGCTCACCGTGAAGAATCTATTACCGAACGTAACAGATCCACCATCATCACAGAGAATGCCGCAAGTGAAGACGTACTCCGTTGATATTCGAATTCCGTTGATACCTAGTCATTCAGATATGCCAACTCCTTCAGTACGATTGCAGCTTCATATCCGGCTATCTATACCTGTGAATATCAATAACACGCAAAGAGCAATCACGTTATGTGGCAGATATTAATCTGGAAGCAACATGATTTTCACATGATCGATTTTACTTTCTCAAGAGTCGGTACGCTGGATAATATGTTTGTTTAAATTCCGGACGGAGAACCAAATAATATTGTATTTTCTCAAGCATTGCGATAAAATAACGTTGATTTTCTGTTAAATAAAACCTGCAGTTTTATTCAAGTTTGGCAACTTTTGGCCTCCAGTATTCAATTTTTAGAGACATTAGGTATTTTGGAAGCAGGAGTGATGAAAAATAAGCAACGCCCTAGACGGGAATCAAAGCAAGGACTTCTGAGTTACGCGCCCAGAGTGCAGAAGACCACACCACGAAGGCACGCCGAGAAGGCCGGGAAAAATA